AATTTTACCATCTTATGAAACATGCAAAAATAAGGCAACCAGTGTCAAAATAGGCCCAAATACAAGAAAACTAAAAAAACAGAACAAAAAGTTCTACTTTACACGTCAATCAAGTTATTTAAGGAAGATTCTTGTAAGATGTGGCAATTACAGATGTTGAATCTTTTGAGGTGTAATTCCACTGAAGCTTGATGTTGGCCCGAGTCAAAGACGACTAAAACAACCCTCTGTAAGCTTTTCCAATGTCACTGTAGTCTATAAATTTGTAAGAAATCCACCATTCAACTTTAATTTCTGGCATTTCCCTGTAATTGGGGCAGTGGCTTAAAAAGAAAAAGCAGAAGAAAATGAATTAATTAAACACATTAAAATTATATAAAACATGAGAGAGAGCATGGTTTGAGGGTTCACAAAAACAATTTCCTGTGAGTCAGTACACAGCTGGTACACTGGAGGAGATGAAGGACACACTCCCTGCATCTGATCCCAAGAGTGACAACGAGGACAGAGAGAGACAGAGATAGACAGGGGCAATGAGAAATACATATGGATTAATGCCAATGCTGCTCTTTTTCCAGGGCTGTGATGGGGAATCTGATCGCAGTGCCATGAGGGTCAGGACGTGGGACGGTGACAGATGCAGTCAAACGGAGCTTCTGTCGCACCTCATCAAAGAACCACAGCGCATGCAATCAAAATAGCCACCATGGCATGCACACAGTAATACACACACTGCAGAAAAAAAACACATTCACATCTACAGGCTACCTTGCTCAGGGGTGCTTGTCCCAGAGCAAGGTAGTATTCTAGGGATTTGGACCAGTGGTTGTCCTTGGGTCAGTAAGCTTACGTGCTTTACAACTAACTTTTCCCAAATAATTATTTATTTAAAAAATTTCTGCTTTATCTGAGACAGAGAATGAAGGAGCTGCAGAAAAAACATGCAATGCTAAGCACAAGCTGTATCTTAGCTTGCAAAGATATAACCACATTACACACAAACAACGCCCACAAAAAAGAAAGCCAGCTTTTACTTTAGCTTTATTGAAATAAAAACCATGCCAGCAGCTAATGTTGATGCATTATTACAAATGACATCATATCAAATCCTTTATTATGCGGTGTCCAGGATCTCGTCTTAAAACTCCCATCTGATTCTCATCACAAGCTCCCCTGACTTCTAGTCTTGTTAGAGCCAGTCAAGTTTCAATTCATATTAGTCAAACAGGCACCAGAGCAACAAACAATAAGGAAGAAAAGGGGAGGACAGACAGAAAGGAAATTAAGAAAGGATTACTGAAGGAGAATAAAGCACCAAAAAAGCAAGTGACATTTAGTCTAGTCCAAGTGTTATTTTGCAAGGTATCATAACTGTTTTTATGTCACCGAATTACAACAAAACCCTGTCAGCATCTCAAGTGGCATAATTCCCTATTATGTGTGCTTTTAATGACCTCATCCTGTCTAAAAATATATATATATACTGTATGTATACAATATATAAATGGTTGTTGTAACCTGATTAAATTTTCAAAACAAAGCAAAATTCTAGTTTCAAATAATGAGATAAAAAGTAATGAAACACAATCACGCAAAACAGACTTTAAAGACACACACATCACCGGAGGAGAAATAAAGACAATCGGGGCAGAAAGACGGAGGAGGGATAGTTAATCCTCAGGGTAAATATTTAACAAGCTCAGCAATTACAGTTAGGGCAGAGACCTAACATGGAGGAGAAGGGAATTACAGCCTGCTGACTGTCAACACACACACACACACACACACACACACACACACACACACACACACACACGTTCTCATGGACCTACTTGCTTGGGCATGGGAAAATATACATACCCTGACCTAAAATAAGAATTAAATGAAAAACATGGGACTTTGAGTTACACACAGGCTGTAGGCTATGAAATGATGATTTAGAGTTTTGTGTTATTATCATTATTTTTTTGAGGGGTGTTACCCTCTGGACTTTTCACTGCATGCTTCACCTGTGCGATGACATACTTAAACCTGATTATATGCATTTTCATTGTGTCCTTTCAACTGGAGATGTACATATAGTATACAGGGAAAATAAATTGTCAAAGTGCAGCTATTGTTTCTACTTTTCAGCTTGGGAGGTATGTGAAATAGCACAGGAAACCATCTCAAGTCATATATTGTGTCTGTAAACGCACCAGACTTGAATCCCATGGAACATGATGAGTAAGGGAAACTGAGGTGAATCCCTCTGTCTGATGTCGCCTTTTATTTACAGATGCGCACACACGCAGCCTAAGGGTATATTTGCATGCAGTGCATAGGTACAGACTGTTTACTGTGCTCCACCCATGAACTGTCACGCAACAGGGCAACTCAGGTGCTTCCCAAAGCACCTGCTACTCTTTCTCTGAACCTTCTCACACCTATAAGTCAACAAATCTATGTTTTAAAGGGACAAAACAAATCCAACCTGAAGCCAAACCCTATACTCACTTATTCACAACTAACTGAACTGGACATCAGTCATGACTCAGTAGCAACTTCACACAGTCCCCCCAGTGGACAAAAAGGAGAACTTCATCACTATAAGTAGAAATATTTTCATCCTTCCTCTATGACACTGTTTACAAGGGCAAATGAAACTTAAAGTTGGTTTCATGTCATGTTTTCAGAAAATGACTCACTGCTCAAAAAAAGAAGAAAAAGAAAGATGAATGTGACTGTTGTTCCAGACCACAGGAAGGATGTGGACATGTACATATTGCTCATCTTAGATTTATCTGGAAATGCTCTGGCTACACTCCATGTTTAAATATCAGTGGAAAAACTGCAGTTGTGACAGTCAAGAGAGTTGACCAAAGAGTGATGCACACAGAACCAAATCCCCCATGTTCCACTCTAATTAATCTCATTAGTGTAGCATCAAAAGGCAGCTAAGCTGGTCACTTCAGCCGCTGATAACAAGGCCTCCAGCAGAGGAAGAGTAATCAAATACAGGCTTTGCCACTGATGCATGTTCAAAGAGAAATATCCTAAAATATTTACAGATAAATGCCACTTCTACTGCTCTTTTGAGTGGCTAAAATATGACTGTAACTCTGAGGTGAGCTAAGAGAGATGATATTATCTTGTTTAGCTATTAGCACTGCCAAACAATACACAAGCAATATCAGCTTTCAACACTTTCTGCATACCTTTCAACACTTTAGCACTTTCACACACATGACTGAACCATCTTCATTTTCTGACCCATCACTTTAAAACACTGACACTCAGCATCACTCTGAATTGAGGCAGCGGTTGTGGTCTTTATCTCTGCGTGAGCCCTTATCCAGGAAAGGCACCTTTAAAAAGTCCAATTAGCACCTGTACTGCATCTTTGCGTGATGGCTAAGCTAAATGAGCATTCAGGGTAAAATAATTGAGTGTATGCGTGACTCTGGCCAGTAGGATGCCAGTTGTTGAGTGCCATGCCAAACCAAGGTGGCGGATGATGGAGATTAAGGGTAATGTAAGGATCAGAGGAGGAGAAGGTGAAAGACGAGAGCCACATGTGCCGAAGAAAAGAGCTGGTCAGATCAACACAAATCCAATTGCCAACTTTTCCACGAAAACAGCTTTCAATGAGGACTTTCATTTAGAGTAGGAAGGCAGTGAGGCCTCCCTTTCCCCCTCAACCTCCTTCTACTTTATCACCCACGTTTCCCGTGGTAAGACAGAAGGAGGATGCTCCTTTTTTAAAAAAAAAACTCTTGTCTTTAGAGCTGTCACATACAGCTGTGCGAGGGGCCTCCATGTTGATAAAGCAGGCACCAGCAACAAATACCTTCTCAAGAGGCCCATGAATATTTGAAGCGTATTGGGAAGCAACACAAGGAGACGGAGGGAGGTATTCACTGGATGGTGGAAGGGCGGGAAAACACGTGTGGACCATTATATAACTCTTAATTACATTAAATGTCGTCACAGGGACCTTCTTATAATCATCACAAATCATCTTCACTGACTTAATAAAACTTCAATTATAAAAAACACACAAGACTGTAACAACACAAAAATACATTCCCACAGCCATGACCATACAATATAGGTGCCGCGGTCTAAACAAAGTTTTCTGTAGACAGTGCATCCAGATGATGCAGACGAGTAAACTTCTTTTAATACAACCAATGCTTGTTTATCTTTAGCCCCTTGAATTCCCAGGCAGTATATCTGTTGGTCTGAATTAGAGTCAGTTGATGACATAGAGCCTCTGGGATTCTTACTCATGAAGCAGACAGAAAAAGTTCACAGATTATTCCATAATTCTAAGAGATTACCATAATTTAACAGGCTAGTATTATCAGTCCCCCATCAGTTTTTGCCCCTATAGTAAATTGCATTGCACAATACAGCTGCACATAATCTTTTTCTGTGTCTGCCACTTAATTGTGTTTGACCATCACACACACCAGCCTGAATGCACGAGTATTTGACTCATACGGTTTGGTGGTAAGCAAGATTTTTCGGCTTCTAACAGCCAATAAATTGAAATTATATGTAACATATTTAAACTGATTATTTTCATGCCAGGGTTTCAATTCTACTGAAACCAACATAAAACTACCTATAGGGCCGATACTCATTACGACCACTTCTAATAATACTGATAACTTAGATATGTGTCATCTTATCAAAGTGTTTCATTACAATCAATTTACATAGATTATGGGGTTTCCATAGCCAGACAGCATATTCAAATTATATATATTATCGTATCTATATATCAAAGATGAAACATTGATCTCTATGCCAATTTAAAGCAGCTGATATCCCACTATCAACCCCATAAATGAGTCTAACCCATATCAGCTCAGCAAGTCTCTATCAACTTGAAGCCACACACATACACACACACACACACACACACACACACACACACACACATTCACATATACACATAAACCAAATATTCCAGCCCCTTCCCCTACAAATGCAACTTTTCTGACCTTCTCTACCTTGGAAGAAGCTTTTGACACGGAGGTAGGAAACTGCAAGGCGCAGCACGGACAGCTTGTCCAGCTTGGAGATGACATCCGGGGGGAACGGCAGCAGGCTGGCCAGCCGGTCCAGCTCAGCGTTCAGCCTGTCCCGGTGCCGCTTGGACGGGTTGGTTTTCTCATTGGCAGCGGACGGCTTCCTGATGATGAGACGGACAGAGGGGAGAGAGAGCAAGACGGAGTTGAGACAGCGTCAGGGAGAGTGTGTGTGTGTGCGTGTGTGTGTGTGGATAGATAAGCAGTAAACATGCTTTAAAATAAGCTGAAATGTTAGAATTATTTCAGCTAAATGGCCCTAACTCAGTGATGTGTTTTTCCATATCCTTGATTACACCATGAACCACCTCAACAAGAAGTAAGTGGCACAGAAAGTTATGAACTTTTTTAATTTCACTTGTTGCAGCCACGCTTCTGTTAATGGCAACGTTAGTGTAAATCTGAGTCACCCTACATGACACAGGCCTGTTCATAAAGCTTACACAGTCATCTTGCCAACCCCTAACTTTGTTGAAAAGATTATGCTATCAATTATAAGTGATATATATTTCCTGGCTTCTAAACTGTAGAGCCTGTATTTACCACAAAAACATGCACACTCATATCAACTTAGTTTCTGTGGAAAAAGTGGTGACTGATTCATAAGACTGTTTATTGTGTTACTATTTGTTTGTTTTTTTCTTTCTTCTTTTTTTGGATCAATGTAAAAAATAGGGCATCAGACTATTAAAGGAAGAATGGGTCTGAATTTATTTCTCAGAAATGGCTTACAAACCTATTCTTGTCAGTTTTGTTATATAGTTGTTCCTCATTGTTAGGATAGAAACCACAGGGTTATGTTTTGTCTATATGGTAACCAACACACCTTGAAAACCAAGCACAAACACATGATCATATAAACCACACTCTGCACAAGTCCTTCTTTCTTTAAACTGTATTTCCTTTTGACTCAGCCTTCCCCAATTCACCATGTACCATACTTCGTATTTCCTCCGATGACAAATCTCTTTATTTTATTTTCGTTAGAGAAAACTAATGCTCTAAGAGTTTTGTCATATCACATACTTCAGTTCCTATAAAATATCTCTCCAAGCTGATGTGAAATTAGTTTTACTATAGTAATATCTGTATTTACTAATACCCACTGTGACTGTTCAATCTTCTCAGTGGCTACTGTTATTAAAGGTATTGGACATACCGCACTATCCTCAGTGCCGCAGAGAATGTAACATGGCCCTAAGGCACCGAGTTATTTGTGTATTTTAGTATGGTGTACGCAGCTTTACCAGTGGAACTTAACATGATCCACATATGTAATGGTCAGCTCCAATTTCCACAGCTGAAAGTTTCTGTTCACCTCCACAGAGACAGAATACTTTTACGTGAATGCTTCGACTTTGTTTTATTATGATGGCCCACCTAAAATTCATATTTTACAGTTATTACTACTGAAAAATATCCAAAGGAACACATGTGAGTGTCAAAATTTGATTAGATTATTCAGATTAATTTTACTTCACTTGGAAATTCAAAACTATGCGTAAAGAACCAAAACAAGATCATTATTCCAAAATTAAACAAAGAAACATCAATGAATAACTGGGGGCACTGAATTATAATTCAAAGTCTTAAAACGTCTTGTGTCGTAACAAGCAGACTAGAATTTCAAATGTATATTTCAGTCCACATACAGCAGTGATTTGATGTGGCAAAGATTTCCTTTCAGATCAGCAGCAAAGGCAGCGCAAAACATGAAAACTTTATAAATGCCACAGGCCTTGTTAAATTACCACTTCCCTCTTCAAAATCTTATATAACCTACATTCACTATTCATGACATCAGCTGACAAGATTGTCCCAAAAAAAAAAAGTAGCCCTCAGTTTACCCATCATCCACCCCCATTTCTGGCTTAAAATTAAGCTATGGTGAGTGGTAAGATGCTTTTAAATTAATTAAATAGCTTCACAATAAGTGCTATATTATTAATTGTATGTTTGCCATAAAATAAGTGCTATGATCACTAGTATTAGGTCTATAACATGCTATTTCTATCAAAACTGGCAGCCAATACAAACCGGAGCTTTTTTATTTTCACACCTTCATATTGTTGCTGCGCAAGAACTTCCTGTGATTCATTATAATGTATCTACTCTTCAATCTGACTTTATGTCTTTAGTTTTCCATGCACATTAGCAAGCTAGAAAAAAGCAACAACATTATGTGCAACCATTTGCCACAGAACATGGATTTAACGGACACATTAAGCAGCGCTCCTTAACTGTTTTTGGATGGGCTTCCTCCGCTTTCTGCCCGCATACATGCAGTCTCCCGGAGGGATCATGATCTTGCGCTCCGTGGAGGTAACAGGTGCGCTGCGGAGGAGACAGAGGGACGTTAACTTTACATGTGGCAGGAGATACAAGCTTCACACATGTGTTAAGACCATGTGCATTGAATTTTGCAGGTTCAGACTTGTTGTTACATATTAAAAGCCATTCCTTGGGTTAAATATGCAGTAAATCCCTGCACCCCTCAAATGAAAGTAGGCTATAATAACCCTAATTAAGCAATAATTAGAAATGCAACAAAATATTATGTGTGAATTAGCAAATAATTAAGATTTATGCCATATGACTTAAATAATGTACAAATAATTGCCAATAGTTACAATATAACCTAACAAAGAGGTGCAACTTATCTAATTAATATCTCGCCTGTAAGAGTGTAGCAGAAATGCTGGATCCTTGGAAATAAGCGATAACACAATATCACAATTTAAAAAGAAAAATCACATCAAAACGTCAAAAATCGTCAAAATAGCACTAACCCAATGTCTGTGTGGATGTCAGTTAATTCCAGTATAGTGTTGTTGGCTGCAAAGCCACATTCACTTTAAGTGCAGAAAAGAGATGCGTCTCCCAGGGTGCACCGACTCGGTAATGCCAAATGATAAATCCAAAGGAAATCAAATAAATCGGAGAGGTCCTGTACGAGCTCCGCGCTGATGTTTTCATCAGCTTTGCACTGCTCGGGGCAGATGTTGGCTGATGCTTTATACCCAATTGAGTCGCCTTCACTTCCTCGCGTTTCAGGTGGCGGATTCCTCTGAATGACATGTCGAGCTCTTCGCACGCAACTCTCTGCCTCACAAACACAAAGCGAGCGCAGGCAGGCACACACACACACACACACGCACGCGCGCGCGCACGCACGCACACACACACGCACAGGGCTTATGCTGCTTTCAGGTGTAAGACTGCAAAAGGGAATTACCGCTTTTCGGTTTTACATCGTTATTATATAGGCCTACTAGCCTATATATTTGTAGCATTTTTTTTACATGTTATAATATAGAAACTGGATGACGGAGGTTTTCTCAACGAATTTATCATTCATTATTTCCTTTTCGACAAATGGTTAGTCTAATATTATAAAGTTGAATGTATACAAGCATTTTCTCTTCGTGATTTTGTTTGTCTCACTAAAGAAAAACTCACCTACACTCCACATTGTATTAGTGAGCAACCTGTGTTAAACTGTATATATTTCCCGGCTAAAATACGCTTTAATACGTGAATGGTTTATATATTTACGAGGAGCACATGAAAGTAGCAGAGCCAAACCGGACTTGAGCGCACAGCCGCGCGCAGCACACACACATTTCGTGAGTAGCGCGGGGAGAGGCGGGATCACACGCGAAGGGCAGCGGAGGCACAAACCTCCAGATTCACACCGAGGCGGTCCGCGGTCGACACCACTCACGGAATCGAGGCTTTTGCTACAGGGAGAAAAACACATTTTAAAGCCGACACGCTGCATTGGACGGAACCGAACGCCAAAAATGAGCTGAGTGGATGAAGCGTTGGTTCAAACTGGGTTTATACCTTCAAAACAAAAGCATGAATGTGCCGCGGATCTAATAGCCTACGCTTTGTTGTGTGGTGGGGTTCGTCTGGAATAAAATGTGACACCACTGTGAGTGTGACAGGAATAATCAAATATATAATCATAGTCGTGCTCTTTTCTTTTTTTTTTTTAGGTTGTGTGCAATTTCGATTATGGGCTTGCTAATGTTTACTCTTTCGGTTCACCTACTCAGAAATTATTAAAACGCCTCTCCCTTACGTAATCTTTACAATTTTCAGCAGATGCAATAGCTAAATCTTCGTATATGCCATTTTATTTTGAACGCTATCACCGGAAGTGCTCTGATCATCTGGTTGATTTGAGTGAGCTGGTTTGAGAGTCTACTCAAAATATTGGACACGGTTTTACCCATTAAATAAGCAATGAGACGCATTTGGAGACAGTAGTTCTGACAGGAGCCGTCCTGTGGGCCTGACGGAGTTAGACGACCTGAAATCACCGCAGCACAGAGGAAAACATTTAATTCTCACTGGTTACGAGAGTTTGCCAATTATAAATACTTGCTTTATGCTTGAAGTAACAGCGTGACTGTGTAGGTGGTTATTTACAGCCTAATTTTGAATGGTCGAAGACAAAGATTCATTGTGGCACATTTAATCTCGAGGCACCTTAGAGAAACCACATTTTTATGTCCCGACACCGTTTCCAAACTTCAATATGTCTATTCAGTAGTGGCGCTTTAGGATGGCCAGACAAAACCAGCTGCGGCCAGAGATACGCAAATGGTTAATAAGTGAGGCAGGAAGTACACAAATGCCTGCAGAAATAAATGGACAAGGGACAAAGACACAGACTGTTTAGCGGTGCTCTGGTATCAGATAGGACAGGATCCTTTCACCATGCTCACATGATCCTACACTAAAGATGTATGGTGTTGTAAATGAAGAATGCACATGTTAAATTGGTTGCATTTAACATAGTCCTACTATGTTTTAAAGATTAAGAAATGAAAAGCCCTGGTTGGTCTATTCCAATTCAAATAAACATCAAAATGCTTTTCTGTGTGTTTTTAGTTTGTGGAGAAATAAATGTTTTGACTTTAAAATTTTGTTTTTTAAATAACACTTTAACCTAATAAAGAATGATAATGTATTGCATCCGCTGTGTGTTGTCATTGAAACAATTGTCATTGTCATTGCACTCAGCTGACCACATTCACAGTGTGCAGTCTGTATGATAGTCTACTTACTGCGCTGCACCCTAGTGTACAAATTTATGCACTACAAACATACCCTCTGAGCACACACAGCTTATTGTGTATTTATGGGTAGTAAATCATGCAAGGCAATGGCTGAGATACACTTCTTCTTTAAATAAACATGACATAGTGGAGGAGAATCCCCTTGGTGATGATGTGATCACACACACACCTACAGAAATAAGGATAGTACATGGTAATACACTCAGGCTGTAGTATAAAACAAAGAGAAAACAGAAACATGCACACATCATAACAATTCAAACCATAATTAATTCAACACAATTAATTCAAACTTGATCTTTCACTTTTTTCACAAATAATTAAAAATATGCATTTAATTTGATCACACTGTATATTCCTGTAATATCTCCACTCAAAGACAGCAGGACAGTCCAGAGTCACATGACCAATATGTGGCACTGTGATGTGGCTCCACCTACTAAGATTATTTCCGAAAAGCTCTGAGAAATGTTTGTCAAACTAAAACTTTAATCTGTAAGCTGAGACCTTCAGAGGCCCACAGTGGCCAGAGAGCTTTTTGGCAGCATGATGAGTCGAGAATTAATCACCACTGGTCCTCAATAATGTCAGAACTGATGCATTCAGTGTATGAAAGAAGCATGGCAATACTGCCCTCATTTTTCCATACTCTCCTGACTGTTTTGAAATGTAATTTTTATTATGTAACAATCAGATTGCATCTTTGAGCAGATGGCTGTCTATACTCTCGTATCAGAAGTGCCCATCAGGGGGGGTGTTTAATTTGTTGTGACAGGTGGGGTTGGGGTCGGGGATCTGAGAAGGTCCTAAGGTCCTGTTAGCACTGTCAGTGGCTGCTATTAAAGCTTTGGTATCAATGTAAATCCACTTGCAACACTATCCAAGCTGCCTTCCAGATTAGCCCAGGCTTAAAGCTCTGCTAACACTGCAGGGGCAGACCTTCGCACGCAATCGTGTGTGTGTGCGTCAGTGCACGTCTGTGTCCATGTCAGTGCACACACAGTAAATGTGTGTGTGTGTGTGTGTGTGTGTGTGTGGCTAAATACAAATTTCAGAATAATGACCATGGAGCAAAATAGGGCTCAGTGAAAGCCATCTGGCAGGTGCAATAGTGTGGCTTTCATTGATTAAGATGTCTCTGTTAGCATCACCATGGGAGTTCGGGAGACATGCAGGGCTGTGACATGACAAGTCTGATTCTAATGGACATTCATAATTAATGGGATGGTCACTATAGGAAAGTACCACACTTACACTCATTTCATCTCTGTCACTGTCACTTAGTGCTTTGTGTCACTAAGCGATCCATGATTGCTCAGTGAGAAGCAAAGCTATTTGTCCAAACATAGTAATCTTGACTCATTTGCAGACAAATAAGCGCATGTTTGCAAGAAAACTATTAAAGGAAACATGGTCGAATATAAGTTGTTGGCCTAAATTCTGTCCAATCCTAACAATGGGTGGGGTCATTAGAGGTGATGGCCTCGCTCGCAGATGACCCTGGACTCAGAAAGCGGGAGGAGAGTTCACAGTCTGCTGCTGTTGTGCCGTTGCAAAGCAGGAATGGTGTTGTCAGGATTTGTGGAGCCAGACTTTAATCCATGACAGCAGATAGATGTTAATGGACAACACCAGCTCAAGCAGTCCTTTTAGGTCAGGATGCATGTTCTGACCCTTGGGACCTGCGGGAAATACTCTGCAGACATATGGTTCATGTATGCATGCGTGCCTCCGTGTATGCAAAAACAATAGTGCAGTTTGAGCTGTTCATGTAGAAATGCTGCAACAATAACACACTGACCCTAAACTGTTTAATACCACAGCTGAACAGATTAGTGTTTTTTTTTGGGACAAGGAATAGATCTGGTTTGATCTCATGAGACCATGAACCTTAAAATCAGGACAAAATTAGACAATGAACTTTGACGGCACAGAGCAAAACAGCCTGCAATGCTCAAAATCACTGGAAATTATGAGTACTGCAAAACAGAGAAGCATAACATGTTGACTGGGAAGTATCAGTGGTGTCAGTAAAGAATGATCCTCGGATACTGATCCGTAAAACTGAGATTCAGTAGTAAATATATGTACACAAAACACAAGCATTAGATAACACTGAAAAGCATTTAAATATTTAAGTGGTTCTTGTTTTATCTTATCCAAGTAGTATTAGGGTTTCAAAAGAAATAATACCATGCCAGATCAGCTCCCCACAGCATCTGTACCACCATACCTGTAGTTTTGTGGCTTCAAATAACATTTTATTCAACTTCATTTGCTCACAAGTAATGCTACGTGATTACAAAGGAATTATGTTGTAATAACTTGTCAAAAACTAAAAAAAGGCAAAGAAAAAATCTCACATTTAAAAACAGACAAAAGATTTGATGAAGATTTGTGTCAAACAGGTAGGTGGTTAGTCAACAAAGCAATGATCCATTAATTCTGATCAAACCTGTTACGGAGAGTTGATCATGAGTATTAGAGCATTTCATCCAACACTATCTTTTTTTTTTTTTTTAAGTATATTTTTTTGGGCTTTTGTGCCTTTATTGGACAGGATAGTATAGAGAGACAGGAAATGGGGAGGCAGAGAGAGAGAGGGAATGACATGCAGTAAAGGGCCATCTGATGCGGGATTCGAACCGGGGCCGACTGCAGCGAGGACTGTACATATGGGGTGCCTGCTCAGACCACTCCACCACTATCTTACAGCAACATAACAGGTTGTGCAGTTCAATTTCAGTAGCCTCAAATGAGTATTTTGTGTTTTGCTTTTGA